TTCCTCCTCCTGCCCATTAGTAAATCAACTTTGATCATTTAATTGTGAGAGGTTTCTTTGGTTCAAGGTGAGAAAGCTTCTGCAAAATATATCACCTATTGCATTCTTTTTCCATTAGTTTTATATATCATGAATGATGCATAATTACTATTCTTCTCCACAACTCTAAGATCTCAATTTACTGTCAGATAGAATGGAAGCACCTGTCCTTCCATTCACTTTTTACTGAAGCTTATTAAACAGACTAGAGTTTTTGCAATACTGCCTCTGGACTCTTCCATCTGTTTTAGCTTCTGGTCTGTTTGGCATAAAAGTTGCAGAACAGACAGGTGTAAAGATGAAAATTGACATGGTTCACAGTCCTGCCTCTACCACCACCAGTTGTTTTGGGTTTTTTTTTTTTAATGTTCTGAGAATTGTTATGTTGGAATTTATCTAAACTAGTTGCAATTATGAATATGTCCTTATGTCCAATCTCTGTAGATCTCACAATGAAAGTTACCCAATACTGAAATGTTTTAGAGAATGTTTTAAGCTGCTTTCTTGAGAGTTGCTGCGTCAATAGTTAAGAAATTACATATTAATTTCAGTTATTTCTTTCTGTTACCTAAAGTCTTGTCCTCATGATTCTGTTTATATGTTGAAGTGTACATAAGTTTTGTTTTGAATAATATCATAAAATTGAACATATATAATAATGCAATGGGGCTTGACAAATGATCATTTGAGAGCAGTTTTCAGCATCAGCCTTCTTGTTCCTTGCTGTTACTTCCATAATTTAAAATTGTATCTGTTTTCAAATTAATCATATATGTATGATTGTTTTCTTCCCCTCAAAACTGTTCATTTGCCATTAAAAATTCTCAGGTTGACTGAATTTCAATAGCCCAACAACTAATAATGATGAACAATGATAAAACATCATTTATTTTAAGGACAGGTAGTTCAATTAACATATGAGAAGAAGACACTGAATTGTTAGTAATTTGATTATTGTTATATCTCAGGAAGAAAACAAAGTGTGGGTAAACCATATAGGAAATGTGGCTATATCAGCCAATTCTACTTTATTTTTAAGGTTACATTAACAGAATCTTGCAAATCTGAAGGTACAAAGTACCTACCATCGCTTTTAACCATCTGACTATTTAATGGGTCCTTTCTAAATTTCTTCTGACTTTTAATCAATTGGCAACTCCTGTCTCTCTTGTCTAACTGTTTCCTAGGCAACATCTCTTCTCTTGTCCCCCAAGGTCATCCACATAGTCCATGAATTTTCCATTGCTGAAAATGAACTTCCAAGTCATAGTCCAACACTATTAATCACTACATCATAGTTTCACTCTACATTTTTCACTCCTTTACTCCAGAATAACAACATTTGCTACTGCTGTTGTTTTTGATTACCACTCAAGCTATTGAGTTGGTATGATGAAGGAAGAAAATGCTGAGCAAAAATTTGCTCTTCTTTTTTGATCCACCCACTATTTTTAACATTGTGAGCCCTAGGGTATTGTTTATTGGGTTTAGGTTTTCTATTTGCATGATTCCAAATGACTAAATGTGATTTTTCAGGTTAAAAAAAAAGTTGCTTGTCCTCAGTGTAACATGACCTACCTACTTTATATGTCCCAATATAGCATTCTTTCATGCTGATTTTCATCATAGGACTGACTTTCAAGAAGACATTCTTGAGTAAATGCTTTATGATCAGAAGTAAAATCATCTGTAATAGGCTCTGATAAGAAAATACTTCTCATGGGAAGTCAGTAGGGAGACAGGACAGAAAAAGAACATAGAAATTGTGTGTATACTGTATGTCAATATACTGTATGAGAGAGAGAGTTGTTTATATCTGAAATGTTAATGTACTTTTATTGTTCTTCCACTAATGATGCACATGAAAATCTTAATTTGTTTTCATTTTTATACAATAATAGCCTTTTTAGGATCTTGTTTTTTTAAATAAGCAGTCCATAATAGTTAGTACAAATAACCTCAATAAAACTGAGAAGAATCCATATATTGAAAAATGGTTATATGGATGAATTGGAAATTATAAACAAATAGTTCTTCTATTAATTTTACTGCAGTTTTTAACATTTTTTCAAGTTACTTGTTATATAGGCTTGTAACTGATGCTGCCATTGGTAATATAATGTAACATAGTGATATGATAATAAGTATCGCATTTATAACATATTTCTGTTTACTCAAGTGATTTGACAAAAATACATTCCAAAATTGCAAGTGTTATGCATCTCTTATTTCAGTATGAATAGCTATTTTTCCTACTATAATAAACTCAGCAAAGTTGCAAAGCAGTTCAAATGACCTTTAGGAAATGTATTTCAAAATAATAGATTGAATTTATAGGACACAGCCTTGTTTTAAGTCAGATCATCATTCTGACAGTAACTTTCCACAGTATCAGATAGGACTGGTCCCATGCCTACCAAGAAGAGATGGAATAATTGTATCTGGGACCTTTGTTTATAGACAGTTAAAACACATGATTTATTGCTGAACAAAGTTTATAATTAGACTTTAAGCTACAAATTGTCAAACATTTTTGTACAAAAGTTTGATTCAAATTACTATATTTGCTTATTAGAACTAGAGGTTTATGTTCATGGTCTTCTTGAAATTCTTTTGAATTCAAACCATAGGTTGCTAATTGTTTTCATACTATACACCAAAAGTCTTTTACATTTTCAGTGTATAACCATGCTATTTAATTTATTTTACTCTTTGTTAAAACTCCCCTTAACCAATTTGAGCCATATTCAATACACAACTTTTTGTTCAATTTGTCAACTCTAATGTTGAAATAAACAGAATATTGTTAGTCTGAATTTTGTAAATGGATATACTATAGTACCATGATAGTGAACCTATGGCACGCGTGCCACAAGTGGCATGCAGAGCCATATCAGTGGGCATGCGAGCTCAGCTCTGGCACTCACATTTTCGAGTCTTTGGAAGGCCTGGGGGGGTGGGAAAGGCCCATTTTTCTTTCTCACCTGGCTCCAGGCCTCTCTAGGAGTCTGGGGAAGGCGAAAACGGCCTCCTCTTCCCCCCCCCCAAATCCTCCAGAGGCTGAAAACGGCCCGTTTAACAACTTCCGCTGGTACCAGAAGCCTGTTTTTTGCTGTACCCAGCCTCCAGGGCCTTTCTAGGAATCTGGAGGACGAAAATGGCCTTCCCCACCTCCCCAGAGGTTCTCCGGAGCCCTAAAAAGCCCCGTTTGACAACTTTCAGTTCCACCAAAAGCAGTTATGCAATACAATTATGAATGCTATTCTTGGAGCATTCTTAGAGTTGGTCCTACAATCCTGAAAGGAGCTCCTTTGTTTAACAGTTGAAAATCCCAGAGAAAGATGCCCAATGATTCTAAATCTGTGGACAGTGCATCCAGTTGCCATAGTCTTCTAAGAAACAAATGGTAATTTCTATCTTGTAAACCACTTGGAACATATATTCCTTTTATTGTGCCCATTGGAAAGTTACTCTCTTCTGAATCACAATAGGTGGAAAGTTTAAATATACTCCAGAAAAAATTTCAGAAGTGTCTTTTGTCCTGCTTTGCCGCATTTCAAAGCCTGAAATATCATTTACTTAAAATAATTGTATCTATTTCATATTTATTTATGTGTTTGCTGAATAATGGAATAATGTTGGGTTCCCATGCAAAATTTCCAGAAACTTCTAAATTAAGGATTATATCAAGTATCAGGTTTTATTTTTTAAAAAACTTGTGAACGTGTGATCTTTTAACCTTGAGATGCTGCATTTGTGACTCATGTGCTGGAGTGAGTCGAATATAAAGCAGTCATTCCACTGCAAAAATATAACAGGCTAAAAAGCAAGACATTCACTATGAGCAATGATTTGGGTCATCTCTGAACCAGGATTTTTTTCTATCATGAGGTGCTGAGCAAATTTTAGTGGCCTTATTTGCTTAGCATATTAAACCAAATGTAAATAAGCAGCATTTCAATTTACTGTTTAACTTGACGTATGAAGCTGTGCTACCAATCAATCAAAATGTAGTAGGCACGTTAACATTTTAACATCTAAAAGTTGTTTCATTTTAATAGTAAGTAACTGTCGGACTAAAGGGATTGATTGAAAGCCAGATGAATTTATTTTAACTAAGGCTATTTCTTTGTGTGCTTGAAATTAGATTTTAAGCCATGAAATATTTTTTTTCTGTTGATCTTGTTCTGCCATCAGTATTAAGTATAATACTTAATACTTAATAAATAGATGTAATATATTACATCTATTTATTTTTATCGTAAGCTATTTGTAAGTAAAGCTAATAAAGTATATCCAAGCTAATTTTATTTTTTTCCATCTGATATTCAAAATGATTACCGTACAAATAAATGTTTAGAAGTTGGTAATATCATGTATGCCTTGTTAAATGTACAGTTCTTGTGATAGAACTGTCTCTGCCACTGAGGACCTAAAGATTCACTGTATCTACTTTCAATTAATTTTTTTACAGCAAGAAAATAAATAAAATTGATTTTCATTTCAGGGAAAAAACATGCAAATCTAATAAACAGTAAAAAAATTAAACAGCGATATAAGGATTTATCTTATAATTTAGAAAACTATAGGATAATGATGAAGAATGAATGCTGTTCCTTTTATCCATTATTTATGCATTTTTCCCTTCCAATTATTTTCCTTTTTTTAAACACTTTCTACTTAGAAAGATGTCTTGTCTCTAACAATCATCTTGTTGCCTTTCCTGCTGCCTGCTCTGTTTATCAAAATTCTGTTTAATTATTTTAATTTTATTATTATTATTTCCTCTTTGACCTCTTTGTCATCTTCTAACTTCTTTTGCTCTTCCAACCTCACTACACATGTTTCCAAAAACTAACACAGGTAACAAACTATTTTTCATTATTAGTTACAAATGGCTGTGTTTTTTTATGTTCAAGCTGATATGTTCTTGTTTTTTTAAAAAAAATATATTTTCACAGTGTGCGGGTGTGATTTGGCTCAAGGAGGCTTTTTCATTAAGAATGGTGACTACCTTTGCACTGTGGATTACCAGAGGATGTATGGGACCCGATGCAATGGCTGTGGGGAGTTTGTGGAAGGAGAAGTTGTGACAGCTCTGGGGAAAACCTATCATCCCAACTGCTTTGCCTGCACGATGTGCAAGTAAGTCAACTAATGCTGAACAAGATTTTTTTTTCTCCTCCTCCTCCTCCTCCTCCTCCTCCTCCTCCTCCTCCTCCTCCTTTTCATCCTTTTTCTCCTCTCTTCCTACTCCTCTTTTATCATTTTGGGTGTCAAGGGAGAATAAAGATTTAAAGAACATAAATACTGGAGAAAAAAGAAAAAATATATTAATTTTTACTGATATGTTGAGTTATATATATTTCTATATATATATATCTCTGTGTGTGTGTATGTAATTGAAGTAGATTCACTGGGTTTTGTTTTTTAGCTGCTTATTTGCAAAGGCTTAAATATTGGATATGCTTGAATATACCTGAATTTACCTGATCATAGAAGTTAAATGGTATAATTCTTGCTTTAGCTAATATCTAATAAAAGGCATATTGGAAATACTGGATTCTGGAGACTGTTTCTCCTTTGCTCAGGATTAGGAAATAGACTATTGGATTTGATTATCCCTACCCAGTATGGTCAACAGTTGAGATAATTTGCTCTAAAGTTACATAAGATTATGGAGTTCTATGGGATTCCCTTTAGTCTTTTAGAGGGAAAAAACATTTCTACCGTAAGTGTGCAGGTGGTGTCAGGCCTTTTAAGGCTGAGAATTTTAGTGGCAGAATGTCCCTTTTTTTCTCACTACATTATCTATCTGTAATTTCAGGTAAAAAAATACTGAAACATCTTTGGGTGCTATGTTTTGACTCACAAACAGTGCCCTGGAAAATGTATTTTTATTTATGTGATACTTTCAAATATTTAATTGTATTTGAATGACGGGGTATCCAGGACAATTATCCTCCTTACCCTCTCAAAGAGTCTGGATAGCACTGTAGAAAAAAACACTTCTGAAACTCTGCAGAGCCTTAGCCAATGGACTAAGTGTAATGAACAGCTAGATGGACTGTTGATCTGTTGTTATAAGGCAGATATTCTTATTCCTATCTGTTGTCTACTTTCTGAAGAACTGGATCTTGTTGCTATTGTTGAAGGCTGAAACTCCTTCATGTCAAAATTTCTGATTTAATTTTTTTGTGGTAGTTGCAGGATTTGTTCATTCCTATAGTATCTACTTTTAATCAACTCACCCTTCTTTTCCTAAAGGAATGTAGCTGAGCTTGCTCTGAATAATGAAAATATACAATATACCACTGTTTTCTGCTTGTTTAAAACACCAAGAACTGCTTAAAATCTGGAATTTGTTGCTTTCATTGATTGCCAAAAAAAATGAGCTATCTAATCACATATACTTTCAGTGAAAAAATAATAGAAATTTCTAATTTTCGTTTGAGCATTCAAACTATCAATGAACAGGCTTCATTTCCTATGGAAAACGCTTATATAGGATTGGGCTTTTTAAAACAAACAAACTTTGAAATAAAAATGTATTGGTCAGGGTTTTTTCTATCATTTTTTCATTATTGAGATACATTTAGTGTTTGGATTTTCTCCAAATGTCTATCTTTGCCAGTACTGCATTTTAAACATGCTTTGGCCCTTTTTCCTGCAAGAGACTGATTTACAGCAGTGGCAACAACGGGAAAGAGCTGAGAAAGATAATGTAACCCGGAGATAGCGTTGCATTAAAATGCTTCTTTTGTTTCCCAGACGTCCTTTTCCACCAGGAGACCGGGTTACCTTTAATGGAAGAGACTGTCTCTGTCAAATGTGTGCTCAACCAATAGCATCCAGTCCAAAAGAACTCGCCACTTCCAGTAGTAAGTATTGCATCTTTTCTAAATACTCCATAGTCTGGATGGCTATATTTCTATTTTCTGCTGCTGCTTTATTCTAATGTGCAGTGATGACTTTGGCTACAAGCTGGGTTTGTATTCTAGAAATTAGAGACAGTCTCCCCCTATCCCTGCAGCCTGCTGTTTATTTATTTATTTATTTGTTGCTTAATTTAATCAATCTCCAACATAAAGGCAGAGTACACCCAAAAATAACTATAGACACAAAGACTGTCTTCTCTATCTTCTTAATCTAATTGGCTCAACTTCAGCTAACATTTTTTCTTTCCATTAATGTATTGTATATATACATAGGTATAAACTCAATATAAATCTTAAGGATACCAGCAACAGAGTTACAGTCATATAGTCATAAGTGGGAGGAGATGGGAGATAGGAATAAAATAGAATAGAATCGAATTTTTTATTGGCCAAGTGTGACTGGACACACAAGGAATTTGTCTTGGTGCATATGCTCTCAGTGTACATAAAAGTGTACATAAAAGAAAAGATACGCTCATCAAGAATCATAAGGTACAACACTTAATGATAGGGTACAAATAAGCAATCAGGAAACAATATCAATATTGTTTTGATATGATTTCATAAGGATCCAAGCAACAAAGTTACAGTCATACAGTCATAAGTGGAAGGAGATGGGTGGTGGGAACGATGAGAAAATTAATAGTAATGCAGACTTAGTAACCAGTTTGACAGTGTTGACGGAATTATTTGTTTAGCAGAGTGATGGTGTTCGGGAAAAAACTGTTCTTGTACATACAAATATACATACATATGAATTAACAGCAACTGATTAAAATGTAAGGTGTGTGTAAAATAAAGCATTCCATTGATAAACGTAAATGATCCCTTGACTCTGTGTGTGCAGTGTCACTCTTAACATCATTCTTTGTCATACACATTCCACAGTCAGTTCATTAGATGCAACAAATTATTAATGCAATGTAACATCAAATGTCATATAAGAAAACATTAAAACAGATACATTTCTCCATTAAATTACCTAAATGGAGTTCTGCTTGTTTTGCCTTTCATTCATTTTACAAATTACAAATTAGAAACAAATTTGGTGTTGTTACATAACTTTTCATTAAATAACTCATATTGCATTACATTCTTATTATATCTGTCTTCAACAGTTTGTATTATAAATACAGTTCCTTTTAACAAAACAGTAATCCTAAGAAAACACAGTACTGGCACAAAAGAATCTTTTAATAGTGTCCAAAGGAAAAAAAAAATAGAATGTTATAACTTTAGATAGAACAGTTTTGACAGAATGAGGACAGGTTTTCTATGAGAATATATGTATTATATCTGTTATGAATATAAACACATTTTGCTATGAAATTATTTTAATGGAGTCCTCTTGTTCATTTTGGCTTTAAATGGTCAGATATTAGATAACCCTCTTGAGCCTAAAGCCTCATTTGGGGGAGAATATCACTGAAAGAGCATCTGAAACTTTAGATATAACATTGTGTTATAGAAGGGTCAAGTAGAATTAACGTTAACTTTTTTCCCCCATATTTTGATGGGATTCCCTAAAGGCTTGTAAGATTGAAATCTTAATTCAGTTTTGGGGACAGTTGCTGTGATGTTATTGCTATAATATCAATATGTCTTTTTAGTTTAAAAAAGGGATAGCTTAAAGAGAAAATGCTAGACTCATGTTGCATTTCATTAAAGATGGATTGGAGAACGGGCATAACTCTTGCTTTTAGGACTGTTGCAAGAATTATGCAATTATGATTTTGATCACGTAACATGTGATCAAAATTCAGACAATCAGCAGGTATTTACAACACTTGCCATGTCCCAGGGTCACGTGATGACCATTTGCGAACTTTTCAGCTGCCTTCTGACAAGCGAAATCAATGGGGAAGAGCTGGATTCGTTTAACAACCACATGATTCATTTAATAATCACAGTGATTTGCTTAACAACTATTACAAAAAAGGTTGTATAATCAGGCACAATTCCACCTTGCCTAGCAATAAAAATTACTAGTGATCATAAATTGAGGATTACCTGTAGGGCCAAGGTCCACCTTCATTTTTCTTAAATGAATAAAATCTTAAAAGTTTGCCAAAAATAACATACAAATACTGTACATCCAAAATGAGGTGATTCACTGGAATAGTTGGTCCCGTGTTTGAATATTGTTCGTTGTTATAAAATGTTGGAAATGTTGATCCCATATTTACTTGAGACACAGGAAATTGATTCAATTTCCTGTGTCTCAAGTAAATATGGAGTCAGCAAATCTCAGTATTTTCTTCCCAACCAACAAGCAGCCTAGAAAATGGCACATCTTTTCAAGTTCAGCGGAAATGAATTAAATCAGGTTGCCTTTTAAATACCATCTTCCCATAGTCTTGTAATATATTACATGTCTAAAAGTTGTTTTGACTTTTCTTCTGGAAACTGCTATGACGTGTATATGCTTCTGGGCAAATGACATGGCTTTTGTCAATTTGTTCTTTTTTCTCTCAAGTGTGAAAGAACCTTGGAAATGTCCTATTGTTTTTGTCCATTAGCCTGAAAATTCAGGGGATTTTTTTTCATCCTTTTAGAAAGAACACTGAGTCATTGTCGTAACCCAAAGCTTGGATCATCTTGGAAACTATCCAGTTTGCTCACTGATTGAAAATCGAAAGGCTTTTAACAAAGCCACACGCGTACACAGGCACACACACACACATCTCTCTGTCTCAAGAATTAACTCCAAAACATTACCTGGCAACAATTTTTATTAGTCTTGGTCTCCTTGTGGCCTGAAATGCAGAGGGGAAATTTATCATATTATTATTTACTGTGCTGCTCTATTGGCACAGATACTCCTTGGAAGGAACACAACAGAGATGCAAGCCTGTAATTTAGGGCATCCCTATCAGAAACTTCTGTTATTCTTCACTAATTGCTCTCTTCCATAATTATTTTTTAAAGGGCACAACAGTTGTTGGAAGCAAATATGATGTTATATTCCTAGTGGAGATCAGGCCCGCTTTTCATTTGCAGCTGGTTTCTGAATTTGGGCCTAGAGGTTCCTCCTGCTGACATAAATCAGTTGTTTTATCCCGTGAAATTTGGAAGGCTGTGCCATTAATTTTCTGTGCAGTTTACTTTCAGCAACTAGGATCTGATTATGTCATAAAATGTTCATAAAGTTACACAAGCTGGGTAGAAGCCAACACCCAGAATTAAGCAATAAGCATGGTTTTATTACAGCATATAGGTGTATATCCATTTTCTTCAAGTTTCAGATTTCTTGGTAGTGCTCTTTAAAATCAGTCCATTAATATGTTTGTTTTGAAAAGATTGCATCTGCTAACATCATTTCTGGCAAGTGATTGCACATCTGCAGGTTGTACTACTTTACTTTTGTCAGTTACATGACACACCCAGGATTTCTGTTCCATTGTCTTTTCTTTTCTTGCCAACTGTGTAGAGGTTATTTCTCTGCTCACTCTCTCACACACACCCTTGTACAAAGAGAAAAAAAGGTGGGGAGAACAGAAATTGGAACCAAAGCTTAGAAGGCGCTCAAATATAGCATGCCTTGCCTTGTCCTTGTCCTGTTGTTATTTCCTAGCATAGTGTTAATGTTTCTAATTGCTATTTTACTTTTAAAAGTTATATTTTACATTATATAAAGGAGACTGGTGTAAGCCATGGGGAAATATTTCTGTGGAATCTTCTGAGATTATTTAGTTCTGGTTCTGGTTAATGCAAAGTTTTAAATCTTGGTAACAGTTGAATAAATCAAACTGTTTAGACCATCCTACTCCAACATGATGTTTTCAAATTGATTCATATGAACCATACTGGCTTGGAATTTGGGTAACTGCAAATGGGACACATTTACAGGCTCATGGCTGCATAAAACCACTCTAGATCTCCAAACTGGATCTTATCAAATACTGAGGTTTAAATAGACAAGCTATAGTTGATAGACTGGTAGTTGATTAAAATATTTATTGTATTATTTAGAGAAGTCCTCAAAAATCGTTAATGTATGTACCACTTTTATTACTTGAATAAAAAAACAAACAGGAAAAATATAAACAGCATACAAAAAGCAAGAATGAAATTAAAATAAACAAAGGACAGCCAGTTTAATCTAGTGGTTAAGATAGTAGGCTAGAAACCAGTTCTAGTCCTGCCTTAGTCATGAAAGTCAGATGGGTGACCTTGGGCCAGTCACACTCTGTCAGGCCAACATACCGTATTTTTCATAGTATAAGACGTACCTTTCCCCCCCCCCAAAAGAGGCTGAAAATTTGGGTGTGTCTTATACTCCAAATGTAGCTTTTTCGAAGCTTTTTTTCAGCCCTAACGAGGCGCTAATGAGGCACTAACCAGCAGTCTTCCCAGCCTGCTCCCTCTGTGCCTTAACGAGGCACCCAGCGATCTTCCCAGCTTTGCCTGCTCCCTCTGTGCCTTAACAAGGCGCTAGTGAGTGAAGCAATCTCCATGCTTTGTTCCAACTCTCAGCTGTTCTTTAGAAGCTTTTTTTCAGCCCTAACTAGGCGCTAGCCGAGTGAAGCGATCGAAACCCACCCCCACCCCCCGTTTTTTGCCTGCTTTTCTCATCACTGCTTCCTCTCAGCTGTTCCTTAGAAGCTGGTTTTTATCCTCAAGCAGGAGATAAAAAACCAGCAAACTAATGTGCTGAAGCTGCCAGACTAAGGATGCTAGCCGGATGAATACGTAGGCAGATTTTTTCCACCCCTATCTTCCTCCCCAAAAACTAAGCTGCGTCTTATAGTCCGGTGTCTTATACTCCGAAAAATACGGTACTTCACATGGTTGTTGTTGTGGGGAAAACATGGTCGCCATCTTGTGTTGTTGATTAAAAATAGTAAAGGCAGGATGTAAACAAGTAAAAATAAATAAAATAAAAACCCATATAGGTATATATTCACAGTATATTTGCAAACGTGGAAACCAGTGTTGTGTAATTCTTAAGGAGCCAAACTGAGTTAGGAGGACCCAGGTTCAAGCCTTTCTTTAGCCACAGAATCCAGCTGTGTGTATTTGGACCAGTCATTCTGTCTTTGACTGGGAAGTAATATATATATATATTTCTATTAACCCTTACTGCAATGGTATGATAGATGGTGCTCCTTGATTTTCAATAAACAGCCCTCATCCTACACTGAATAAATTTGTTATGAGTTATTCCAAATGAGCATGTCAATGAACAGGATAGTCATATTTCATTATAATCACCTATGGCTATCAATATCAAGAATGATTCATTCATAAATTTCTAATAACATTAATTCTGCAGAATACTGAAAAGTTGGGGCCATGTATTTATCTTTCCAATGCTGATAAATAAAGTCACAAAGAATCCACTTTCTTTGTCAGATGTCAGTTTCCAGATGATAATGCCCAATTGATTTAGAGAGTTGTTAACAGAAGCTGATCTATGCACTCTAAAGCACATCTCATATTCTGCAGGATATGCAAAGGTCTTATAGTGGATATTGCTCAGTTATTGATGTATTCATGAATAAAGTGTTCTCTAAAAGCAGAAAGCTTGAAAATACTTTTTCAACTTTAGGTTATTTAATACATTTTCATGATTTATTTAAATCTTCCAGTTGTTTAATAACTTTAAAAATATGTCACCAATGTGTTTTTAAAACTACATCCCGGTGTTCATATGTAACACCAGAAATAGAAACAAAGACCAGATTTTTTTTTTTTTAAGAACTCTAAACCAGTTGCTATTTTCAAAGAGAAAAATAATTGCACTTTGGTAGTCCCAAAGCAGTGGTTAAATGTCAGCTTGATGGTCCATGATCATCCTGAAGCAGCACACAGGGCATTTTACCTTCATCCTAGATAACAAAAAAGCATATTCTTAAAGATCCCTAATGCACTAGTCCTTTTGGAAAAGCAGCAAGATTCGTTTTACGATTGTCTACTACTCTCTTGTCCCTCTCCGTTATGCCCTGACCTTCATCTTGCTTCTGCTTCTTATATTTATCATACCATTAAATTATGCATTTGAAAGCTCTTCTCAAAACCTCTTGACTAATTTATAGGTGGGCATCATAATCTAGTTTTTTTGTGTAGTTTTATTTATTTTCTTGTTGTGAGGTACAACATTTAGATTTATTATTCTAGACGCAAGATAAATGTGCCTTTCAAAGATTTTATAATGCAGAAGAGTTGAAAAGAAAGATTGCTATGCTTTTGAAACAATTTTTAAAATTGATTTTTTGAAGAGGACAGATGAATATTGACTAACTGTTAAAATTTAATTATTTTTTTCCTGTTTTAAAGTTTTGGATAATTTTTCTTTTTTGAGAAAATAGAGAAGCTTCCTAACTAAATACCACAGATCTTAAAATTTTTATTTTGGATGACTACTTAGGAGCAATCGAATAACTGCTTGATTTGATATCAAAGAGAGTACTAGGAATATTGTACTAGATAATAGGAATATTATCTTGGAGCAATTGAGTTATATTGTGTAATATAACTCAAAGCTTATATTATGTATCAGGACCATTTGAGGATACCTGATCTGTGCTACTTGATGAAGACTAAGGGTTCATTCAACTGAACTTGAAATATAGCATAGGAAGTAAGACACATTGGCAATTCTGATAAATGACTGAACCTGTTCTTTCTGTCTCACATTTTTTCTGCTGGAAACAACATTTAAACACAAGAACATTGTGGCCTAAGAGAAACAGTTTTACAATCTGGTCCACGAATAGGGAGTCTGCTTCCTCCCTAGTAAGAGCAGAATCTGATTGGATTATGTCACTATATTATCAGGTTCAATTATATGACTTAATTAACTGGCAATATTTCTCTTAAGGTTTTGGATGGAAACTGTCCCAGACCTCCTCCCCCCAATTAGAAATACCAGGGAATTAATTTTGGACTTTCTGCATGCAAAACAGATGCTGTACTGCTGAGCATTGGCAGGCAGAATAGCCAATAGGCAGATATTATGGGAGATGGCATGTAACAAGATCCAATATCTAGTGCAACATTCATTGTCATAACTTGATTGGATTAAATTTAGAAACGTTCATGCTTAGAATTAGACTTAATGAATTCACTGAGACAAGATGTGTGTGTGTGCGTGCGCACACACCTTCATGACAGTGTTATCCAGCAACTGCCCTGGACTAATTGCTGCAGTTTTCTTGGCAAGATTTCATAAGTGGCTTGACATTGTCTGCTCCCTAGGGCAGTGTGAGTGTGAGTGGCCCAAGATCACCCAATTGGCTTTGTGCCTAAGGTGGGAATAGAACTCACAAATCATCTGGTTTCTAGCCTGCTGTCTTAACCATTATACCACACTGGTTTTCTGAGGCATGTTAGACATATTTAATTTAATTCCCATTGATATTGGTGCATTTGCTCTAAGCATCATGCTCCATTATTTGATTTTTTTTTTTTAATGGAATATTTCAGCAAGGTACTTAGCCAACTTTCTGGGGTCTTCAAATCTATCCAGAGTTGGGCCTGGTGATTATATGGGAAACCTCCAAGAAAACTCAATGCAAAAGGCAAATATTAATTAATTAAAAATATATATATTAAAAGATAACATATTTACATTTTTTTGTTTACCTTGACTTTCCTGATTCACTTATTTTCATTAGATAGGAAAAGAAATAATAAAAAAATTGTCTTCATCTGTGACAAAAGGAAATGCTTTGAAATTGAAAAGGAATCTAAGGAAACTGTTAAATATCACAATTCTATCATGATAAAATGTTGGGTAATTTTAATGTTTCCCTCTTATTTTTATACAAACGTTTAGAATGTTGCTGCCACCTAGAGGATTGAAATGTAATAATATGTAAAGATCAATTAGACATAGGACATAGACAAACTTTATTGTCACTTTGAATGTACACTAATCGGCATACATTAAAATGAAATTTCATTGCATACAGCTCTCAAAGGGTCATCATCTCCAATATACACTACATAAACATGACTAAATACATACATACATACATACATACATACATACATACATACATACTTATCATATACACACATATATTATATGACCCAGAGAAACAACACAGTCTAGTTCAGAGGTATATTTATTTATTTATTTATTTATTTTATTAATTTAATTTGTATACCGCCCTTCTCCCAGAGGGGACTCAGGGCGGTGAACAGCCAGAATTAAAAAACATACAAATACAAAAATTAAGATAATTAAAAAGAATTAAATCATTAGTTTCCCAATTTAAAACCCCCAAATCCATAAAATTTAAAATTCCAATTAAAAACCATTTAGGCTAGGCCGGCCTGGTGGAATAAAAACGTCTTCAGGGCTTTACGGAAGGTACAGAGGTCCTGGATCAATCGTATTCCAGAAGGCAGCTCGTTTCACAGGGCGGGTGCCCCCATAGAGAAGGCTCTCACCCTGGGGGCTGCCAGCCGACATTGCCTGACCGACGGTATACATGTACATGGTGAGAAAAATGAATTAATTGGAGCAGGGGGAATAAGATTGTCAGCCTACTAGGAAAATATCTTTATTTCTAGAAATTATATGCAAAATTGAAATACAGACAAGCAAAAGTAAAATGCAGAAATTATATGGAAAATAAAAATAAATAAATATTATTGCTAAACCAGCATATAAAATTAAAATCACCATTAGGTAAAGGTGATAGAAAACTGTCTAATTGCTTTTCATGGAGGACCCTTCTGTAAGGACACACACACACACACACACACACACACACAGAGAGAGAGAGAGAGAGAGAGAGAAAGAGAGAGAGAGAGAGAGAGAGAGAGAGAAAGAGATAAATGTATGTGTATTGTATATGTATAATGTGTATGTATACAGATATATAAGTATTTAAATAAATTATGAAAATTTCTATAACATTCAGAAAGCTTCTTTTATTGAGCTGTTTTAAAATGATGACAAGTGGCTTAATCTGGGAGTAAGTAAATACGGATCAGTAAATATGGATCAGTAACCTGATACATGTGTTTTGGTTTCTTTGCAGACTGTGCAGGCTGTGGAAGAGATATAAAAAATGGACAAGCCTTGCTTGCCTTGGACAAGCAATGGCATCTTGGGTGCTTCAAGTGCAAAGCCTGTGCGAAGGTTCTAACTGGAGAATACATCAGCAAGTAAGTCCACATAGAAAATAAATTATTTGACAGGGTTTTTAAACAACTGGCATTTAAATCCTTTAAATCCTTAAATCCACTTGTGTGTTATGTTATTCCCCCATGTGACATCACATCAGAACATGTAGTAAGATATTCTGTTTTCAGAATGCTGAGAACAAACTTGTCAGAGATATACGTTTACTTGATATTGTTCCTCCTCTGTCATATTGTTATTACAATGTTCTTTGGGGCTAAATTAGGCCAAGAAATGGCTACTTAATGAGTTTGCTAGCTGAAGAGAAATTTAAACCTGAATTTTGTTTGCCACAATTCAACACTTAATGTTTGCATTCTCTGACTGTCAAAAATGTATTTATGTTGAATGGGTAACAAGTGCAGGATGAGACATAGCTGATGAGAAATATAAGAAGGTGTCTTTAATGCTCTTAAGTGCACCATTATTAATACCTTCCTTGTGTTCAGCCCAAAATATAAGGACATCCAAGGGAATGGATATAAAATAATGTGTATTCTATATAATATTAGTGAAGCTAATTTGTATCTTGTGGGTTACATTCAGAGATGGTGCCCCTTACTGTGAAAAGGACTATCAAGTTCTCTTTGGGGTCAAATGTGAAGCATGCCATCAGTTCATCACTGGAAAGGTCCTAGAAGTAAGTAATATGCAACTTTATGTGTAGCTATTTGTTATATATGTATTTCATAAATGTATATGTGTATTTATGTGTAATTTATGTATAGGAACAAAAGGTACATACTATTTTATGTAAATAGGCTATGACCAGGTTTCATGTTTTGAAAAAAAATATATATGTTGTTTGACATCAGACGCACTGAGCAGCAAGGCCTTTACACAGTGAAGATATTTTTGGCATATTTTATGCTTACATATACAGCCCATAAGAATCTTGAGTAACACAAGATAATAGTGAAGTGACTCTTTATTAACTTGTAGTGGTTATCTGAATATAAATAGTCCAGCTTTTCCTGATAAGGTTGAATTATGTGATACAAAATATATAGTAAAATTTAAAATTAACAAAAGCAACCTATACCTAATTACACTGAACTTTCAGTATAGAGGAGAAGGAGGGAAGACTGTTATATAGGATAGGGCAATCCTGCATCTATTCCTGTTCCTCCAATCTCCCCCATTAATTTACAAAATAGGCATTACTACAGCAAAATGGAGATATTTTTTGATGTTTTATTATGTTTGAATATTTTTAAATTATGGTACCTATTATTTTAAATCTTTGCCTAAGTTTGTGTACTTTTAACAGCTTTCCTCGGTATATTTTATTCAATACTCCATAGTAAGATTTGCATGTATGTTGTAAACATACAGTATTTCATTTCAGTTATAGTAAGGAGTACTATAATAGTAGGAAGTAAGCACCAGAGGGCAGCACCAGATTTTGTAAGGAAGTGATTGATTGTATGGACAGAGACTGTAACTAACTTTTGCACCCCAATTTTTTTTCATAATAGTACTTTTAAATATAATACAAGCAAGAACTTCTTTACCTCAGAAAATGTACAATTTTGTTTTGAGAAGTAGAGGAAGGCAGCTAAAGTAATTTGCATTTTTAAATTTATCAACTCTTAATACTTAATTGAATATATATTTTAATAGATTCTAAATGTTTAGCAAAATATTTTAAAATGCCAAAACAGTGTAGGATATTTAAATTACAGTGAAAGAAGACAGAAAACATATATCAGTCAATGGAAAAACACTAGTTTAAACTGCGTAGGTTTTTGACCTGAAGTTGAAAAAAAGCCAATTGTGTTTCTAATGGCCTTCCCCAGTTAAAGGGCAATTCTTTATAAAAGAATTGTAATTTTGTAAGGAATTGTAAAGATAAATACAAAGGTGTGGATCAATTTGGGCTAAATGTGGAATCTCAAGATGGAATGAGAAGTTTTGGAACATTTTTTTCCTGGGAGTGGAACTGATGGGTTTGAGTTTACTTTATTGTAATTGGACCTCTAGGATTCTCACATTCTGATTTGTTTTTCTAGAACATTGTTTCATTACAAAAATGGTCAGGAAGCAGCTGCCATCAAAATAGTTTTTGATTTTTGTGCAAAAAGAGATAAGTATTTGGGTAATGAGTCATAGAGGGAATTGTGATTAAAACAAAATAACCTTATTCAAGTCAGTCAAACATCATAGTGAATGAAACTTTTGAAAATTGAGAAATGCTTATTAAAATGTTCTACACATCACACACACAGAGAGAGAGAGAGAGACAGAGAGAGAGACAGAGAGAGACAATGAATTAATTTTAAGGTATATAACATAACAACACATTTATTTCTGGCATATCTTCTAACAATCTGGGAAGTAGAAATTTTCTAAACACCAATTTCTTTGCTAAAAAAAAACTTGATCTATCAGTCTTAACTTTGTGCAACAGGTAGATTATCTTGTGCAAGGTTGGATTTCTATTTTGGGTGTGGATGAGAACAGGAAGTTATAGAGATGCCAGTCTTATTGTGTGCATTATCATTTTGAAGAATCCAGACCCAGGCCATTGCCATTGCAAGAGTACAATCCCAGGATATTGCCCATCACAGATAGAATGGACATTCATAGCGGAGCAAGAGTTTAAATAACAACATTATAGTATGCACAAAACTGTCGTTGAAGCAGCTATGGTCACTATAGACAGTGAATTCTGATTCTTTTAGTAGCTTTGAACTTAAAATTGAGTTTTTAAAAACTCAATGGGGAGTTATATCACTTGTTTTCCATTCAGGAAAGATACTTGACATGTGTTACATGCTACATTTATGTCTGTCTATCTTTCCCACCAGAATTTGCTTAATTAGAATTATATCAGTATTTTTCCCTTAAGGACTGAAATCTCACTTGAAAAAGAATTAAGCTGCCGAATCTGAAATTACAATGAACTCAACCTATTTGCTAACGCACTTAGATTGAAGATTTAGTAATGAAATTGAGCTAAATATTTGCTAGGGAAAATTGAATGCATTAAACACTTAATAAAAATAAATACATCATACAAAGTTCTTCCTGATTTTAGATTGTTTTCCAAGACCAGTTGCAATAACCCAAATTATATGTACACAGTAGACATAGTATACACAGTATACATAGAGAAATATATTAATTAGGTATTTGCTGTTAAATGTTCTGTTCACATAATGTTGCAGTATAACTTGATAGGAATCTGACCAAGTTAATTGAATTAAAGGCAATTTTTAAAAAATCAATTATAAATGTAAGGACTCTTGAAAATGAACAGAAGAGATTTAGATTTAGGTTATAATACATATCTATTCATTAACATACGAAGTACAGTTTATTGAATATCTGTGTCTTTGAGAAGAATTGATTGTTTGCTTTGTTTGGTGGTAGAAGGAAACTCAAGTCCCCAAGGTCCTAATTTCAGCAGAAACATTCAGAAGCAATCTTCTGAACAGTTATACTAAAATTACTACATGCTACTTAGATAAATGTAGACAAATGGTACTGCCTCACCTTAAGCAATAGGCATCCCCTTTTCTTTTTTCCATAATGGATTGGTCCGTTTATTGCTAGCTGCAACCAAAAAGCTAGAAAAATCTGTCTGTTTCTGCATTGTGAATGAGTGATCAGGACCAGACTACTACCGAGTTGTGATTTTGAAAGAAGAAAGTGATGTGTTTTGGATTAGGAACAATATTGCCAGAGTTTTCCCTATGATAAAATGACCTGGAAGTTATTTCATGTCAGCAAGATGACTCTCACAGTTATTTGACGGAGTCAGAGAGAAATGGAAGATGCAACTCATTGAATGGTGAAGTTTCAAAGCATATCAAAGAAGTCTTAGCAGAAGGTAAATTAATCTTCCTGAGAGAATTGTTGAATATGCAGCATTACAATTATTTAAATAAAGCATACAGTTTTAAAGGAAGAGTTAAATGGGAGAAGGAAGGTTAGGGTGACTAATCCAACTGCTGTTACCATACAGCAAACAAACAACCAGAACAAATTACATTTATGTGAATTTGGTGTGACTTCTTGTCTTGAGAAGTATAGCTATCAAACTGTGCTGGTGCAAGGAACAAACTGTGTGTGTTAAAATTACTCATTAATTCATAAATGAATTCCTATTCATTTTAAAAAATATGACACATGAGCAAATGTTTCTCTATTTAGTTTATATAGAAGTAACCCTAAATACATTTATGGAAAAATTCAAAAAATTAATGCATCAGTATGGGAGAAATATTAGAGCCCATGTATCTACCTTTAAGTAAACATATAGAAGATGAGAAAGTAGTTATAATTCATGCATACTTTGGTGAAAGAGATTTTTTTTTAACCTAAAATTAATGTGTGTGCACACACACAATCATTAGTCAGAATGAATATTGAGATGGATAACAGCCTAGTTTTAATCATTAGGATCTCAAAATGTATGTCCAGATTTATAAATTTGTTTACAAAGACATTATTTTAAAAGAGGTACGCTCGTTGTTGTTTTTCACTCTATTGTAATTGATTATGAACTATTGTTTTTAAAGAGAAGTAGGATATAAATGTTTTGAGATAAGTAATTATCTCTAGAAGGCATTTTATGGTATCTATATACAGTATAAATACTGATTACAGTTTTTGCTTTTGATAAAAGTGTGTGATTCTGATCAACCAGTAGCATGTCTACAGTTATTTCAGTTGCAGAAAGTTTTCAAGCTCATGCTTGACCATATTTCAAATACAAGATTTTGAAAAAAGTATCAGCAAAGGCTTTGGCACAGGGATTTGGGCACTAGTTTGTGGCCTGATTTCTATCAGCATCAACCAACATATTTGCAAATTGCTAATGAGGACCAATAGAAAACGTTGAAGCAGAATCTTGCATACATTTTATGAAAAAATATTTGAGATAATATTTTTGTAGAGGCTTGTGATCATTGGTGGCATTTAAGGAAACAGAGAAACATTTCTATGTGAGCTCTTTTCTGAGATTTATTTATTTATTAGGTTTTATCCAATATTTAGTATTTTATAAGTAACTCAAGGCTTTGAAGTACATAATAATCCCTTCTGTTCTATTTTCTCCACAATATCAACCCTGTGAGATGGACTGGACTAGAGAGAGAATGCTGGCCCGAAGTCACCAATCTGGCTTCCACGTCCAAGGCGAGACTAGAACTCAAAGTCTCCTGGTTTCCAGGCTGATGTGTGGTTTCTAACCACTACATCAAACTCTAATGTTCTGATGTTAGACCGATTATCCAAAAATATTGGCCAGGTTTCCTGATGAAAAATAAGTGTACCTCCAAATACCTTTCCTTCCTACTCAAAATGCTTTTAGCATCCTTCCTTCCTTCTTTCCTTCCTTCCTTCCTTCCTTTTCTCTCTTCCTTCTTCCCTCTTTTTTCAAATTGGGATAGTAGATAAAGTTCATTACACATGTGTAGTATTTGTTTTATCCATAATCCAGTTTATTTTAACAGAATAACAGAGTTGGAAGGGACCTTGGAGGTCTTCTAGTTCAACCCCCTGCTTAGGCAAGAAACCTACACCACTTCAGACAAATGGTTATCCAATATCTTCTTTAAAACTTCTAGTGTTGAGCATTCACAATTCTGCAGGCAAGTTGTTCCACTGATTAATCGTTCTAACTGTCAGGAA